CATGTACATTCAAGGCAAAAAGGTACGTGTTCTGGCAATGGTAAGTCATTCATGTGGCTGCTACCTCACCCTTAAAACATTCTTTGATGAAAGGTTTTTGAAGTACACTGCACTCTGTGTCAAAGAATGAATGCTTCCACACTAATGTTTTACAATGTGAATTGTTCCCTTTAAAACAGTTAACTTGTAACTGAATACTGGACCCATCTCTCACCTCTCTATGTTGTACACTGGAGGAACTCCTCCTTCCCACAGCAGCCTTATTTGCAACAGATGATAATGCATACAAGCTGTAAAGGTTTGGGCACCCCAGTCAAATCACATTGATGATTTTAGTGAAACGTCAACAAAATCTTTGTAGCAAACAAACCTACCCAACATATTTCCGTAAATTTTTAAAAGCACAAATTAAACCTTTACTTGCTGAATGCACTTATTTTAAAATCTTGGGGCAAATGCGGACAAACTGGAGGTTTGATTCCAAAAATGTTGGGGTTACCAAGTTCTAACAGTATGCCCAGACTGTTGTACCTTCCACGTTTTATTTTGCAATCTGTTAAATTCCGAATGCAAGCTGTAATGTTGTAAAACATGAAAAATATATCATATTGTCTATTACCTGCAAAGGATATATAAGGTTTCACTAGAAACAATTTGACAAGGGGTGCCTAAACCTTTGCATACAAGTCCTTTAATTTAACAGAAACCATGTAAATACTATCTTGGAATGTTGGGCTGCAATCAGGCTTATTCAAAATAAACACTGCAAAATGCAGTAACCAAAAGCAACCCAAAATTAATAATTTAATCAACTCACATTTGGGAACTGAAATATGATTGGTTGCAATGGCATACTGCGCTTAGGCTTTGCATTGACAGTCTTATTAAACAATAATTAAACGTGTCCTCTTGCTGCTGTACTATATAAAAAGGTGCCTATTGGGTAAGTAGGAGGAGCCAAAATGTGAGCTGGTTCACACCAGATGAAATCCAGCGCTTTTTTTTTTTCTGCATCAAAAATGCTTGCACAGTGTTTTCCATGTATTCTAATGGCCCTAGTTCACACCAGTGCAGTCTGTACCAGTGCGTTCCAGTGCAGAAAAGAAAAAAAAAAAAAAACAGAACATGCTGCTTTTCTTCTGCACAGAACTGTACTGGAACACAGCAAAACGCACCAGAACGGACTGTGGTGTAAACTGTAAGCAAAAACACATCCAGAACGCATTTGAAGTGCATTTTTGTGGTGTAAGCTGTAGAAAATTTCTTAAAAGATCATTCAGCAGATGTAGTTCAAACAAGGCTACCAAAGTTACCACGTGTACAGTCAAGTCTGTTAAATGCTGCTTTGTGTCTATGGGCAGACACATCTTACCTTTTTTTTTTTTTACCATAAACTTATCTGGCATCATATAAAGGCTACAAGCTACACATCAAATTAAAGAATGGCATATGCAGGATAGTCCCTGAGGCCAAAATACAACAAAAAGCAAATAAAGCACTTCAATGAAATAAGTCCCCATACATAAAAAGTCTAAAACATCAACCCTTTTAAACCATCAAATTATGCATATGTGAACACCTATCACCCTAATTTCAAGTGATTAAAACAGTGTATAAAATTAGAAAAATGGACTGTTTGTCCTTGACCTATGTTCAACAAGACTAGTGAATTACAATTAGATTTTTAGACATCAGAGTACACAAACCTAAAATCAATCAATGGCTATTGAAGCAGGAATTATTATAAAACTATTACAAAAGCAGAAACAAGAGAAACCAGTGACAATGGTACTCTCACCTTGTTCACTGTAATAGTTTTTTCTGAGGGTTCAATGGGTTTTCATTTTATTGGAGAATACCAAAAAGTTATGACTTATAAAATATCTGATTGTTACAGTTTTTATATGATTTTCCCAGTGTCAGTAGAAACCGCTCTCCTGCAGGCTCTATGTGAGAGCAGCAATCTCACTGTCGCAGTCCGACACAGCACTCCCTGACCCCCTCCCTTCAAATCATCCTAAATGAGTGACAGCTAAGGGTCTGCAGTCGAAGTATGAGCCTTGCCAACTGCAGTGTTATATCAGACTGTGGCTGCCAGATGGCTGCTCTCATGTGGAAGCAGTGTCAACTGGAACTGAGGCTCTTTTCTAAAAAAAAAAATATATCATAGCTTTTGGGCATCCTCCATTTTCATTTCTAGGCTGGAAATTCACAGGAAGCCTTGTATGTTTATGAATAAATACAAGGCATCCTCTGATTGGCTGAGGTGGTGGATGTCATGATCTCTTCCTCACCAATTAGGGGAATTCTTGTACTCATTCATTAAAGCAGCTGTAAAGGCAGAAGGTTTATGCATAGAAAAAAAAACCTGAGTGTAGCTTTCCCCCCCTACTTACCTTAGCCTGATCCAGCAATGTGCACGAGAGCTGAGGCTCTCTCACCTCTCATTGGCTTAGAGCCAGCAGCAGGAGCTACTGCCACCAGCAGGAGCCGGTAAGGAGGTAGCGGGGGGAGGGGCCAAGTCACACTCTGCGAGTCCTAGGCTCCATACACACTGGGCGATTTAATAACGCTGGTAACGTTAGCTGTGTAAAGTCACGTTAATAACTTGAGTTTTTCAGTGTTTTTGCATTAGCGTTTAGCTGTGGGTTTTTTTTAGTTTTTGTTTTGGTCAAAAAAAGTTCAAAAATGCTGGTTTGCCGCGTTTTACAGCGTTAGAGCGTTTTTACAGCTAAAAAAACTCATAGAAACCCACTAGTTCTGGGGTTTTTTCCCAGCGCAAAACCGCCGATTACAGTCCCTGATGACGTCCCTTATGACGAAATGCGTAGGGCGGAGCCACGTACACATGCTACCATGCAAAGTGCAACCGGCTGGTGGCCATTTTGGATGCTGGATGGATTTGATTTTTCATTTGCACAAGCTTACCTGTCTTTGTGAGTGCAACCCTATTTCAAATAAAATGTTATATTAAGGATTTTACACTATGTGGAGCAATCTTCTTTTGCATGTTTTATGTCACATGTTAGGGTCCCATTTGGAGCATGTCTAGCTACCCTAACTAGGGATCACTAAAGGAGGATCTTTGGCATTTCTCTATTGGGGAATCAGAGGACGATTTGGCTTTCCAGCCTCTCTGGTTGTTGTACAACAAAGCACAATTGACCACTCTTAACATTGGGTCATACCTCTCTGGTAAGCCTTTTATATGAGTGGTTGGTGACATCAGCTATCCTTGATCCCTCTAAACACCAGTCATCATCAGAATCCCTCTAAATACCAGTCTTCCTGTGAATGGCTGAGCAGCACTCAGCTCAACTCTATTTTGTTCTGGGAAGACCCTATTCCACTGCCGGGACACAGCACTGTATACTGTATGTAGCTGATGTTACATACATTCCATATAGCGCTAACAGGGGGGGGTGAAATTGTTTGTGAAAGAAAAAATTAATTTGGATCAGCTTGGTACTATTTAAAAAGTTATCTAAAAGTCGGAGTGAGCCTTTAGTGTAAACCTTTCCTCAGGGATACACGCGGGCTTACATGGCTGACCATCTTCAAAAAGAATGTTGGCTGTTACACTGACCCTGTGGCTTAAGAACCTTCTCAACCACTGACCTAGATATGAATGCAGATCTGGAAAGTCAGAAATCCTTATCTGAATACTTGTTCTGGGTTGGCGATTTAAATTATTGAAAAAAGAGGATCCACATAAGCATGGCAATTTACAAAATAAAAGCTCTTTTCTTTCAGTTAGGTCTGAAGTTTAAAGGACTTCCCTATACTACCCATTTAGTTTGAGGTGACATAGGTATGATTTTGTTCGTCCTACTAGGTCTCTGCTTTTGTATGGAACCCCGACAGCCATTCCAGATGTCGACCTAAGAGTCAAACTTTACTTTTCCCTACAGAAATAGATCTCGACATCTGTGGAAAATCTACCGGAGGGCAGGTAAAAGAATGCTGCAAGTATGTTCCATTGAGACTCAATGGGGTTTATTTACGAACGCTGAAGAGGCAAAATCAGACTCACTTCTGCATAGAAAACCAAATAGCTTCGAACATCAGCTTGTTCAATTAAGCTTTGGCAATAAAACCTGGAGGCTGACTGGTTTCTATGCAGAAGTGAGCCTGATTTTGCACTCTCCAGCTTTAGTAAGTAAACCTCACTGAGACAAAATTGATTAAGGGGATACTCTCCTGCATGGGTAGAAAGAAAATTGCAAATACCCAGCAAGGGAACAAACAGGTTAAGATTTCTATTTCAATGAACAAGCAGCTCCTGAATGAAGTTCAAGGCTGTTAGGAAGCTTGCTGACAAAAATTCTGCACCAAAGGAAAATAAAGTGGCAAATATTGAAAATATACAACAGCTCTAAAGGCCAGATGGTTTGCATTATTAAACGCCACAGAGCACAAAGCAGCAATCAGACTACGCGATAGATAACTGATCCCAATATGTAGGTTTGTTGCAGGTAACGGGTCATCCGATTATACTGTACCCATTCCAGATAAGAAATTTGCAATTCAGTCACTGCATGTTATTCCATTCTACTTCATACCAAAAAAAAATAAAAAATTACCAGTGTTCACATGAGAAGAACAAGCACAAAACCTCACAACCAAATATAAATAAAAGTAAATTCTAAGTCCAGCATTTCAATAAGCAGCATTTTGCTCTAGAGTACAGCGATTACTGCTACATAATATCATGAAATTGGCAGCAAGAAACAATAAGGTGGAGAAAACTGTGTGTGTGTGTGTATATATATGTATATATATAATTAAAAAAAGATAAATTAACAACCTGCAACCTATTTTTACCAACATAAAGGACCTCCTTCCTCTTTAGTTTATTCTGCACTGATAGTAAGTGTATATTGAGAATTCAAGAAGAATTATCTGTGCAGGATTTGGGTAAAAGAATGTGAAAATAGTCTTTCAGCCAAGCTATTGTTATCTGTCTCTTTTATTGAAGTCAGGCTGTCTCTTCTCCTAGATTAGAATTCATCATCAGAGCTCAGAAGTAGAGTCTTCTCTGTATCGCGAGCTCCTGACAGACTCTGAGAGCGAGAGATGATTTGTCCATTGCGCCAAGTTGTGCCCTGCTCCAAGGTGGATTGCTGTGTGTACTGCTGATAGGCTGGAGAGAAGTTATGGATGGCATCTTGAACAATATCATGAGGATTCATGGTCTCCTTTAGACTGCTGGAAATGCTCTTCATGGGGGCGCAGCGCCCTGCAAAGTAACACAAAGACGCTCTAAAAGCCTTCAAGATTCAAAACTAAAAATATCATTACACTGAAACAAATCGAACATATACTGATGTTATATTGATTACACAGGTCCACATATATCTATTGCTTGGCAAAGGGAAGCAACATGTTTTTCATGGAAAACAGTGAAGGGAAGAAGTTTAAGCGGAACCACATTTTTAATATTCATAGCAAATTCGTCCGTCCATCCATCCAGGTCTCAATGCTCTATTTTGCTGATAAATCATTTTGAAAAACACCCTCCCTAGCATTTCTGACTGTGGCAGTCTTGAGTAAGAGCCGTTGATTAATGTAGCATTTACTCCCTTGAATTCGTCTATAATTGTTTCTTAATATGTTGTGTTCTGACAGTTCTGGTTCCACATGGGTTAAGCAGTTTTATTTTTTCCCTACTGAATAAATATACAAAGTGCAGAAACCTAGACCACCAAATTTTATTTTATTTTATTGTAGTCCTGTTAAACAGAAAATTAAGATGGTTTGCTTTAGCACTTTATAATTAAATAGAAAACGTAAAATTAAGGTAGAACTATATTCATCCCATCCATCCTTCATCTTACTCACTCTAATAACTTAGTGGTAACAGGTACCAGAAGCCACAAAACACAATTGTTGGCTCCAGAATCCACTCGTTGCTCTGAAATTCCACTTGGCCAGTTATTGACCAAATGTCACCCGAACCTCCTGTTTACCAAAGATCATTTAAGTTGCTGTTAGATCATGGAGTAGAGGCTTTTGAAGCTGAGATGTCAATATTTTCAACTTTGACTATATTTTAGGATTTGAGTGGAAGCTGGTTGAACAGGAAAGCAGGTGATATTATTGAGGACTAGAGCCAGTGCATAAATTAAATAGGAAGCTTGCATTGTATGGATATAGAGAGCTTCATATTTCTGTTTACCACTTGGCTATGGCTGACCACACTGACCATACTACACAGTCGTAGTGGACAGATTTCTAAAACAACTGCATGTTTTAGCATAAATGTGTCTGGAAATGCATTCTGTGCTTAAAAAGGGTAAGGTAAGTATCTGAGTTTCAGATGTGCGAATATTTACTAAAGCATGATGTAGCATAAATGATCTGTGTATGTGTTTCTAGTGCGATATCTATCTACGCAAACCCAAAGAACACAGAAACCCAATGCCAAACAATTTCAGGCATCATGCCTTGTTTTTGTATAGTATAGCTGAGTCATGCAAGCAAAATGTTGACGCACATTATATTGGCCAGGAAGAGAAATGTGTTAAAAATGAATGTAAATTTATTATTTGAAGTGCAGTTTGCTGTAGGCCTAATACAGCGAGATGATTAACAAGGTGGCAAATAAGCCAAGCAATATGAAACTGCAGATGTAAATGGCTAAATAGGTGAAGCAGACAGGGCAGTACCTACCATATGGACCGTAGGATGGAACAGCTGCAGCAAATAACCAGGGCAAAAGCAAGGGAAATAAAAGAGAGAAAGGACAGATCAAGAAATAGAGAGGTTACACAGTGACCTGTAAGAAGCAGCATTCAGAGACAGCAGCATTCATAGATCATATGTTGATGTGTCATACATGTCAACAGCCACAAGTTCTCCCCAGCCATGTGCTCTGTGGGATGAATCAGCACAATTTCTCCTCCAAAACACTGCATGGTATCAAACTCCCTGCAGAAAACAAATACCTCACATATTCCCAAGGATTAAAGAGACAATACCACAGCAGCTGAAACAGATTTAATTCCTCTAAACTTGCAACTGGCCCAAATAAAAATGCTGCAGTGTTACAACATAATTAACCCACCAAATTATTAGCAAATATAACAAAAAGGAATTTCTGTGGATACTAATAAACCAAAACTATGTTTAAGGACTTGTGCACTTTAAAATCTAGATGTAAGAGAATTAGTTTTTAATAATGCTGAAAGGAATGTGAAGAAAAACAGCTTGCGGTAACCAGAGAATACAAATTGAAAGTAAATCTGAAGGCAACCACTAGGTGGCAGAAATCAACCATCGCAAAAAGCTGAGCTGGAGATCTGGGAATATGGCAAGGAAAAAAAAAAATGTTAATATTTCATGACACTAAGTGATTAAACAGATATTATTTATAGGTACAAAAAAAACATCAAAACCATCTTTACGGTGTTCTCTTTCTACTCAATGATCACAATATGTAGGACATTTATGCAAATTAAGCCAAACCCAGCTAGGCTGCCTTACTAGTACATCCAATCCTTCACTTAAGTCACTCCTGTTCTCATCCAATCTTTCCACTCACTTGGGGTTAGCACAGAGTAGTAGTGAATAACAACATAATACAGTTGATGACTACTTATCTTACCAAAATAATCCACATTTTGGGCTTACTTGTGGCAATACTATCTTGCAAAAATAATTGATTATCTATGCAATCTAAGGACAAAGACGTCTAGATTGACAGATAGTTTTAAAATAACATGCATTTCAAATAGAAAGTTCAAAACATAATTAGTAATTTGGCCAGTTTATGACGCAACTGTTTGCCAGCCTGTAGCAAAGGGCGCTGCCCATGATTTTACCAGGTACTGCAGCTGTGGTAGAGGAGGAATACCAGGGCTTATGCGGTATTCCCAGGATATTTAGATGGCTTGTTATGGAAATTTCAGTGTACCCAAGTTCCACAACTGGTTATAACAATAATTCAAGCCAAAACTTCAAGTTGCCAAGTGACAGCCAATAAACCTTAAGGATTTAGAGAAGATCTGTAAAGAAGAGTGGACCATAATCCGTACTGAGATGTGTACAAACCTGGTAACCAACTACAAGAAACATCTTACCTCTGTGCTTGCCAACAAGGGTTTCTCCACCAAATACTAAGTCATGTTTTGCTTGGGGATCAAATACTTATTTTACACACTGAACTGCAACTCAGTTTATAAGATTTGTATCAGGTGTTTTTTCTGGATTTCTGATTTTTGCTATTCTGTCTCTGTCTCATTTAAAATACAAATAAAATGAAAAGGTCTGGACTGCAGGCAGGCCAGTTAAGCACCCAGACTCTTCTACTACGAAGGCATGCTGTTGTCAGAGTCAGTATTTGGTTTAGCATTGTCCTCCTAAAATATGCAAGGACTTTCCTGAAAAAGACGTCACCTGAATGGGAGCATATGCTGCTCTAAAACTTGCATATTTTTCAGCATTGTTGGTGCCTTTCCAGATGTGCAAACTGGCCATTCCATACGCACTAACGGGCCCCCATACTATCAGAGATGCAGACTTTTGAATGGAGTTGCTGGTAACAAGCTGGAAGGTCCCTCTCCTCTTTTGTCTGAAGGACGTGACACCCATGGTTTACAAAAAAGAATGTCAATCTTTGATCTGCCTGATCACAGAACAGATTTCCACTTTGCAACAGAACATTTTACATGAGCTTTGGCCCAGAGAAGATGGCAGTGTTTCTGGCTCATGTTCAGATATGGCTTCTTTGCATGATAGAGCTTTAACTTGCATTTTTAGATGGCACAGTAAACTGTGTTCAAAGACAGCGAATTGTGGAAATCTTCCTGAGCCCATGCCTGTTTTTAATGCAGTGCTGTCTAAAAGCATAAAGATCACAGGCATCCAATATTTTGGCCTTGTCCCCCACACACAGATTTCTCTAGATTCTCAGAATCTTTTGATATTAGGTACTGTAGATAATGATATATTTAAAGTATTCGCAATTTTACGCTGAAATTTGTTTTTTTGAAATTGTTCAGCACTTTTTAGATGCTTTTTTGATGATTGATGAACCTCTGCCCATCTTTACTTCTGAGACATTCACTCTAAGATGCTCTTTTTATACCCATTCATGTTACTGACCTGTTGCTAATTAACCTAATTAGTTGCAAAATGTCCTCCCAGCTCTTCCTTGTTAGTATCACTTACTTTACCAGCTTTTTGTTACCTTGTCCCATTTTGAGACGTGTGCTGCCATCAATTTCAAAATGACCTTTTCTTAAAACAGTAACTTTTCTCAGTTTAAAGGGGTGTAAAGTCTAAAAATGTTTACCTTAATGCATTCCTTTTATTAGGGTAAAAATGTTTAAGTAGTACTATTGTCTCCTCATCCCCCCAACTCATACTTACCTGAGCCCTCACGCAATGCAGCACTGTGCCTATCTGTAGCAGCTCTCTCCTCTCTCACAGGCGTTGCTATTGTCAGTGACTCCAGTGATGAAGGAGCAAGGGACAGGCCGAGCCGTGCTGTGTCTATGAATGCAGGCAGTGTGGCTCGGGATCAAGCCCACAGGTGTACCACAATAGGAAGTGGCTTCCTATGGTGGCATTTCAAGAAGAGGAGGCACCAGGAGCTCCAGCAGGGGACACCAGAAGAGGAGGATGGGGGCCTCTCTGTGAAATTCTACTGCACAGAGCATGTAAATTATTTACAAGGTTAAGTAAAGCGACCAACTCTATAAGAGTAAATCAACTAAAACAACACCTGTGAAATTCTTGAAAAACATTAGCACGTAACTTTTTTTCAAAAAAGAAAAAAGCTGTACTCACCTTGAGCATCAAGTCTTTTGTCTAAGTAAACTTTGTAAGTAAAAGCGTAACGTAGAGCTATGGCTGCAAAGAACATCTCCACACAAATAATAAAATTCTGGTAGCCGGCAGCAACTGTGCCCTCACCCACTGTAACCTCAGCTGAATGGATTTTTGGGATAGCACCACATTTTTCCAGTATTGCTAAAAGCATTCCTGTAATGCACAAGTAGACAAAAGAATTAAGACTAATGAATACTGGGAATCAGACAATGGTGTGAGTCCTTATGTTATAAAAAAAATATATATATATATTAGATAGAGAGAGAGATCAGCATAAATGAGTACACCCCAACAGATTTGTCAGAAAACCTTTACTTTCCTTTCAGTAACAACATTTTCTATGGGACACTATACTATAAAATATTCCCACAAATGCAGGCCATTGATTGGAAACAAGATTTGTTAATTTGCACACACAAAGTATTTTTTCTAACAAATTAATTCATGTTGCATTCATGTTGCAAAAATGAATACACCCCAATGAAAGTCTTAGGAGCAAAGCTAAATTTTAGACAACAAAATCCTAACTAGAAAAGCTACAATTTCTGGGGAAATTGTGTGAAGTGTTCTTTCCTCCACCAGTAGTCTACAACTGGAGTGGGCGGAGTAACTGGGCGGAGTGGCTTGAGTAACTGTTGTGTGGTTGGAGTGGCTGGAGTAACTGTGAAAAGGTTGGACTGGGCAGAGTAACTGTGTGGAGTGTTTGGAGAGAGTAAAGATAGTAAACATTACACTAACTAATTGATTAATCAAATTTAAAAAGTGCACATGGCAAGCTTGATAGAGTGAGAAATGCATTTCAACTTTTAATTATTTATATAGCACATTTAATTGCAATGTTGTTGCCCAAAGTGCTTCACAGTTACATTAAAACATACGTTTATAAAAACATTAGCAGCATTATCACCTCAAATACTCTACTGTAGAAAACTTATTTCCAAACCTTTAACCAGAAGCCGGCCAAACTGTCACAAATTCAAAATAAGATTTCAAATAGGGCAGAGAAGAGTGGTTAAAAACAAACTGCTCCAAATTGCTCACTTCACTGGCGTCTTCAAATGGTCATAGTTTTTAAAAACTATAAATCCTACAGCGAAGAGCTTTATATTGTGAGAATCACAAGACCCAGACCTACATTTTGATGTATAGTATGTCTCTGAAATATTAAAAATGAAGGCACAGTCACAGTTTAGAAATTGCCCTTCAAATTTTAGGTGGCTAGAGTGGAGTTTCAAGGAATGTCAATGGGCGGCGTGAGTTGTAAACAAATGGTCATATTGTGAAAGCTATCAGGACTATGGCTTAGCTGTGGATATTTTTAATGGCAGCAGGGATAGCTGAACGTTTTGATATAAGATTCGAGTAGGTGGGCTTGAAAATGAGGGAGTGATGGCAGTTTAGAAATCAGGTCCTGATTTTTCAGCTCCCACTCTAGCTTTTGTCAGCTCCCACTCTAGTTTTGAACATTCCGCCATTCATTCCTAAGGGACCAATTTCACCACAAAAACGCCAATATTTTGTGAACCATTCGGAGAAACGTTCCACAAAGTAATAGCACACCAATCGGGAACAATCGCAGGTTTCGGTATATTACGGTCTATGTAGTGTAAAAACTGTGGGAGGAGTTAGGGTGGTAAATTTTGCTATAATGAGATAACAATAAGTGGTCTTGTCATGCAAGAACAGTTAATTAACATGAATTCAACGCCAGGTGAGTCTTATTCATTAACTGCCTCCCGGAAATGACGGAAGGGCTATCAGATCTCTTGTTCTGGGAAAACATCATATGACGTCTTCCCACTCTTGCCGCGCATGCGTGCCCTTGGGGGGGTGCGGCGATCGGTGGTGCACTGTGTCCCTGGGACACAGCGGATCACTGATCGCAGTAAAGAGCCGATGACATAGGCTCTATCATGTGATCAGCTGTGTCCAATCACAGCTGATCACGTCAATAGAAAATGTTGGTTATGGGCAGTCCTCTCCTCACGTTGACAGCATGTGAGGGGAGGACACATCTACCACTGATCATCAGGGCACTGTAGCCCCATCAGTGCCCATAAATGCCACCCATCAGTGCCCAATGAGAGCTGTGAAAATGCAGAATCGACTCCCTCAAGAGTTGGTTCTGGCCAGCTCAGTGGATTGCTTTAAAAAAGGCCTGGATTATTTCTTAGATACACAGAATATAACTGGATAATAACATTTATACTGTAGGTAAAGTTGATCCAAGGAATATCCGATTGCCTCTCGAGGGATCAGGAGGGAATTTTTTTCCCTGCAGGAGCAAATTGGGTCATGCTTTGCTGGGTTTTTTTTTACCATCCTCTGGATCAACTGTGGGTATAGGAATATAACTTTTTTTTTTTTTTTAATGGTTGAACTGGCTGGACTTTTGTCTTTTTTCAGCCAGACTAACTATGTAACATCAATGCCGCCTGTCAGTGCCAGTCAGTGCTGCCTTTTAGTGTCCACCAGTCATGCCTATCAATGCCCACCAGTGCCACCTATCAGTGCCTCCTCATCAGTGCAGTCTATCAGTACCCATCAGTGCAGCCTCATTAGCGTACATCAGTGAAGGAGAAAAATTAATTATTTACAAAATTTTATAACAGAAACTAAGAAAAAAACTTTTTATTTTCAAAATGTTCAGTCTTTTTTTAGTTTGTTTTGCAAAAAATGAAAAACCCAGTATGATTAATACCACCAAAAGAAATGTCTGTCTCAAAAAAACTTATAAAAAAATTTGTTTGGGTATAGTGTTGCATGACTGCACAATTGTTATTCAAAGTGCAACAGCACTGAAAGCTGAAAATTGACCTGGGCAGGAAGGGGGTAAAAGTGCCCAGTAGGCAAATGGTTAAACAGGTGTCCAGAAGACAGTTGATTATAAAAGGGTGTTACTTAAAGAAAACCCCATTTTATGCTGTTAGCAAAGGCATCCCATGGAAGAGAAATGTCACAAGGCCTGAGAAAGAAAATAAAAGGTGAAGGCTACAAGATCAACAAAGTTTTACTTAGCAGTCAGAATACTGCAGCAAAAGTGATTTGCCAGGGCCCATGCTGAAAAAGAAGACCCTGTACTCTGGAATTATGAGACCAAAATAAATGTTTTTGAAACTGATGGCTTCAAAACTGTATGGCATTGCAAAGGTGAGGCGTACAAAGAAAAATGCATGGTGCCTACAGTGAAACATGGCGGTGGCACGGTTCTCCTGTGGGGCTGCATGAGTGCTGCTGGTGTCAGAGAGCTTCATTGCATTGATGGTATCATGAATTCACAGATATACTGCTCTATATTGAAAGAGAAGATGCGATCTGACATCTGAGGAGGGGTGTCGAGTCACTCTGCCCCTTCTCTGAGCATCTGGGGCGCGGAGCGGATTGAGGCCTACCGCAGCGTGTGAAGCCGCGGTGTTTCCTAGATCCGCGGCTGGAGCGGATCGCAGTCGCAGCCAGACTGCCGCCCTATCGCCTTGCCCACCAGCCCCTGGAGTCAGGTCAGCTATTGGGGCAGGTTGGGTGGGCTCCTGGGGTCCTCCTGGTGGACTGTGCTGTGTCCCTGCAAGATTCCAGCAGGATACTGGAGGTCTGACCTGCTACAGGAATGGAGCTGGCTGGGAGAGGGCATCCTCCTGCATAGTCCCTTTCTCCAGTGGATAAATCAGGGGTGTCTGGGATATTTTCTGGCAACCTCTACACAGTCTGCATACCTGGCTTATATATCGTAACCATCTATATTTCACTGACTGTGACATTATGTTGAACCTTCTGTGAATACCTCCCCGGTGGGGGACACGTACACGAACCAAGGGGGAAAATGTCAGAGTGACCTCCTTGGGCCGCGCCACCGTGACATTATTCTCGGCCACTGGGCTTCTACACCCTACATTACACTTCAATAGCCTGGGGGTGACTTGGAAATCTGTAGACCGCTTTCGGAAATGCATCGCACTCCCCGCACTAAACTTAAACACAGGGCCAAACAGCAATCCCCCTTACAAGGCCACATTGCCAAGTTGATACCTAGGCCGCCTGAGCCTGATGATAACACCCAACTTTCAGGGAACCCCGAGTCTGATGGCGATAGTCAGCGGCAATTTCCGTCGGGGCTGGTTGATCCTCTTGAACATCATCCCGAAGCCTTACTACACAAATTCCGTGCTACAGTGCGAGAGGAGATTACTGTTGCTTCGCGTAAATTATCCTCTGATCTGGCGAGAGGCCTAAAAGAGCTGGGTCTCCGCGCCCACCAATTGGAACAACGCATGGATCTGGCAACTACAGTCCTGGAGGGTCACGAACAAGAAGTGGAGGATCTACATGCTGAGCTGGATACTTTGAAAAATAAGCTGGAGGATGCTGAGAATAGAGCTCGCAGGGATAATCTCCGCATCCGTGGAATCCCGGAGGCAATCACCGATTTGCAGGGCACTGCAACTGCCCTTTTCCAGGAGTTGGCCCCTGAGATTCCTCTGGAGCGTCTGGAGTTTGATCGTATCCATAGAGCTCTAGCACCTAAGTCCACGGAGGGTCCTCCCAGAGACATTATTATTAAATTTCACTTCTATCGCACCAAGGAACGTCTACTGCAGGCAGCTCGGAATTGTTCGGCTTTGGAGTTTCAAGCTCATTCTGTCCATCTGTTCGCGGACCTGTCCCCAGTCATGATTGCCAAACGTCGCACCTTGAGACCCTATCTTCGGATTCTTCAGTCAGCTGACATCAAGTACAGATGGGGCTTCCCTTTCAAGCTTTCATTTTCCTTTCAAGGTCGTCAATTTCAAGCTTCTACGCCGGCGGATCTCCGGCGTCACTTTCGGGAGCTCAACTTGGAGTTGCCACAATCCCAGAGTGAGGAGACTTTACTACCTACGCGCCATCAAAATTCTCAGTCTCTGCGTAAATCTCCTCCTAGTCAAAGCGGTTCACAGGCTCTTCGATCCTTACAGGCCCAGCGCTTTCAGGAAATCTCTGCAACCTGATGTTTATGTAGCTTAGTCCCATGTGGTTTTTTTTTTCTTTTTTTCTCACCGCCACTCTCTGGAATTGAATTTAGATTTGTTCAGGGATTCTATATTTCCGTGTGCCGTATCTCTTCCGATCAAGAATGGATGTTACTTTTCTCTGCATTGATTGGTTGAGATCCTTATTGT